AAATTATGGGAAAATATATATATTTTGCAGTACAGTGACTGGCCCAATTTCATGCCTTTTTTGGTTTGTCGACTGATTCCCTGAATATTTTCAATAGACGATATTCAGCTAAACACATGAACGAGGGTCGGACATCGTGAACAAAATTATTTGGCTGATCCAAACTTTCCAGCCTTGCACAAGTCTACTGTCCATTCATCTGCCCTGCTATTTGTCTGTCTGTCCGTCTGCTCTTCTTTCTATCTGTCTGTTTGTCTGTCTCTCTGTCTGTCTCTCTGTCTGTCCATCCATCTGCTCTTCTATCTATCTGTATGTCTGTCATCTATCTATCTTTCTATCTATCTATCTATCTTTCTCTTGACCTTTGGTGAGGTTTCTAAATGTTGCCAGTTCCACTCTGGTGGAATAAATTCCTTTGTTAAGATATTCAGTGTTGCGGCTCCATTATTCTTTATTTTGTATATTGCTGAGGAAGGAATAAGATATCCAAGGCATTATCCCCCCAATAAATGGACGACAAACAGTTCTGGGAGTCAACTGATTTTTATTCAGCAAAAGCTGGCTTTTATGCAACTCCCCATGCAAGTTTTTTTTAAAATCATATTCCAGGGGTTTATCCCTGGTGGACCTTATTGGGGACAAGGGACAAATCAACAGTTTACAGACTCCTCCTCTGTGCCTGGGAGATAATTGAGTAAGGACAACTATATAATTAAATTATCTCCCAGGTACAGGAAACATACAATATTTATAAACGGTATAAAATTAATTGTAATGGTTCAGAACCCCACGAAAGTTACTTCACCGAATAGCTTGGATCTGACCGAACACTTTGTCAAAATATCACTCAGATCCATTTGATAGTTTACAAACGCCATTCGAGTGAAGTTTGGACCGGTCGGCCACGAGGTGAAGCCCCAAAACAGTTCCAGAGAATTTTAGGCTTTGGCTGGTCTTCTTTCTGGAGTTCTCATAGGAATGCTGACCAAAGCTCCCCCTGGCTGCTAGCATACATCTCTTCCTCCTGTTCAGTAGTTTAGGTCTCCTGAACAACGTTCTCCTAATGGTTTGGGAAAGTAAATTGGCAGCGTTATCAGTTTGCTGGGTGTTCATGGAGTAGAGTAGCCGATATTAGTTCCAGGTCGTCGCCGACCCTCTACCGCTGCCCACGTTCGAGAGACAAAATGGTCAAAATGGTTTGTTTGCACACGTGCATTCGGTAATACGAACGGCAGCCACCCAGGGGAAACACTTTCTTTAACAAGAAATATGTGGTTAGCAGCCAGGGGTGGTCAGTTATTAAATGATGCAAACCCAGAGACCACACAGATGGGGTTCGGTAAACGAACCGGATGGTACGGACAGCCGAACAAAGGGAATGAAAAAGGGTATAACCACGTTCCCTCTGCTACAAAGTTTTCTGTCCATTTTTGACTGCTTGATGATTATTAATTGGTTTCAAATGAGTTTCTCACAGAGAATAACATCTCCCTTTTCATTACTACCGGGCTCTGTCTGTCTGTCTGTCTATCTGTTGCCAACTCATTCTAGCATTGTGTCTTTCTCCCTCCGTCTCTCCATATAATTATTTATTTTAGTGCACTACACAGAACCCCATGGACAGAGGTGCAACTAGAAACCACAGGGCCCTGGTGCAAAACCCCCGCCCCCTCCCCTATACATATTTCCCCCCCGCCCCTCCAATTGTATAATATAAAACACATACAGATACATACACAGACACACATGCTAATACACAGTCACACAGAATGACACACATTTAGATACACAGGCACACACTGACACACATGCGGATAAACAGAGAGATACACATATAGACAAATGCAGATACACATACACAGAATGACATGCATAGAAATACAAACAGTGACACACATACAAATACACGGGGAACACACTGATACACATGCTATCAGATACACATACAGACACACATATGCAGATACACATACAGACACATATGCAGATACACATACTGACACACAGACACACATGCAGATACACAAACACACTTAATGCCAAACATTCAGATACACAGAATTATTCGCATACAGATACAAACAGTGACACACATACAGATACATAGGGGCACACACTGACACACATACAGACACAGATATACATAAAGAACAAATATGCAGACAAACAGATACACATACAAACAGATACACATACAGACACAGAACACACAGACACACATACAGAAAGATACACATATAGACATGCATGCAAATACATAGACACACTTAATGACAAACAATAAGATGCACAGAATGGCACACGTACAGATATAAACTGTGACACACATACAGATACATTGAGGGGACACACACTGACACACATTCAAACAGATACCCATACAGACAAACAGATACACATACAGACTCACATGCAGACAAACAGATACACAGACAAAGATACACATACAGACACACACACGCACACACATACAGATACAGACACACACACATACAGACACACAGAGATTCACACACACACACACACACACACACACACACACAAGCAATTTAGTCAACCTCTCCTACCTTAAGGTGCAGGAGGGTGACTTGCCTGGGGTTCAGTGGTTGTGTGTGACACAGATACAGACATTCACACACATAAACTGTAAAAATTTTTAGTCACCCTCTCCTACCTTAACGTGCAGGAGGGTGACTTGCCTGGGGTCCAGTGACTGCCTTCAGCTGATGGGAGTCAGAGCTCCCATTCTGACTCCCTCTTAGCCTTTGCCTGCGTTCTCCTCCCGCTCGGCTATGTGTATGCTGGGAGGAAGTGACAGCTTCTTCCCAGCGGGCGCTCTGACGTCATCAAACGGGGCCCTCTTAAAGCACCACAGCACTGACCGGGCCCCAGGAAATCCATTGCCATCGGGTGGTCCCTTCATTGCGACCTTGGGGATTGCTCCTGGAGTGATGGGCCCGGTTGTAGCTGCGATAGGTTGCTCCTGCATTTTGAGAGTCTGTCCTGGGTCTCGGGCACCCTCATTCCGTGACAATGTAGTGTCCTGGAATGAGCTGAGCTGCACCGCCGCCGCTGCAGTGGCAGATCCGTGGGGGGCAACAGGGCAATTGCCCCTCCCGAGAAATTAGTGCAGCTCCCATAGGGGAACTACCTCATCAGGGGTCCGGTCGGGTGCTGCAGCTGTTTGGCAAACCAGGCCCCTTTAATGTTGCAGAGAGTGCTGGGAGGAAGTGACTGTTAGTGTCAGTATATATATGTGAGTGTATGTGTATCTGTGAGTGTCAGTGTGTATCTGTGAGTATGTGTGTGTCAGTGTGTGTGTATCTGCGAGTGTCAGTGTGTATCTGTGAGTGCCTGTGCATCTGTGAGCATGTGTGTGGATCTATGTGTGGGTCAGTGAGTATATATGTGTGTGTTTATCTGTAAGTGTCAGTTTATATATGTGAGTGTGAATGCATGTGTATCTGTAAGTATGTGTGTGTCAGTGTGTATATGTGAGTGTCTGTGCATCTGTGAGCATGTGTGTGGATCTGTGTGTATGTGTGTGTCAGTGTGTGTGTATCTGTGTGTGTCAGTGAGTATATATGTGTTTGTTTATCTGTAAGTGTCAGTTTATATATGTGAGTGTGAGTGCATGTGTATCTAAGAGTATGTGTGTGTCAGTGTGTATATGTGAGTGTCTGTGCATCTGTGAGCATGTGTGTGGATCTATGTGTGTGTGTGTGTATGTGTGTCAGTGTGTGTGTATCTGTGAGTGTTAGTGTATATATGAGTGTGTGTGTATCTGTGAGTTTCAGTGTGTATCTGTGAGTATGTGTGTGTCAGTGTGTTTGTATCTGTGAATGTCAGTGTGTATATGTTAGTGTCTGTGTATCTGTGAGTGTGTGTGTATTTGTGAGTGTCAGTGTGTATAAGTGAGTGTCTGTGCATCTGTGAGCATGTGTGTGTGTGTCAGTGTATCTGTGAGTGTCAGTGTGTATCTGTGAGTATGTGTGTGTCTAAGTAGCCAGTTAATGTTTGCAGAAATACTGAAAAATGCTCTGGCAGATATGTTTTTGCCAGTCTCAAGTATAAATTTGATGAAATGCACTCGTGAAAGTAAGTGTCCCTGAATGGCAGTTAGGAAATGTGGTCACCCTAAGCTGCGGCCCCTACGACCGCAGTAGTTCCACCACAGCCCACGGACCCATCAGAGATACAGCAGAATAGAAATCTCCAGCAATATGCAAACATCCCCAATGTTTTTTCTGCACGTGATGAGATGCAATAGCCATTTACTGAACTATATATAAGCATGTTTTTTATTTTCTTTGTTGTAACAGTCTGCCCCCCCTCAGATTGTCAAATTGTTCTGTTTGTCAGAGAACATAATATTTTTATCTCCAGCAAATGGCCTCACCAGGGGATCTCTGATATTACCAAATGTAGATGTTTGCATTGATGGGTACATATAGAGGTTATCATGTCAATTTAGTAGGGATCGTAAATAGCCTCGCTGCTGCTCAATTCAGTTATGGCCAGAAAACAGTTTAAAGATTTGTTATATTCGCTTTCACGAGATGCGGTGGATCTTTTTTCCAACACACAGCTACGGAAATACTTTAAACCTGTGAAGTTTAGCTGTAAAACACAAGATCGGATACCGTGATAAATAGTACAAATAGTAAATAGAACAATTAACAAGATGCCATAAAAGATCTCGCCAAATCACAACATAATAAATAATAATAACCCCTTTCAGGATGGAGTCAATAGTACACGTTCTGATCAAAACAAAACGTAAACAAAAACTGGAATTTGCGCTGTATGTCTGTTCAACTGTAATTCACCTATGTCACATTAAAGGACCACTCTAGGCACCCAGACCACTTCAGCTTAATGAAGTGGTCTGG